ATCTGACAAAACACACACAGAGACATACATACATATATTTTACCTTGCTTGCTGGTCTTATTCTCTCGTAAGGTGCATCGATACAAAGCACGGATGTTCTCCGGAACTCTTCCACTCTCGCGGGTTCATCTCCGGGCAAAACCCGTGGCGCTGCCCCGTGGGTTCCGTGCCTTCCTCGGATGCGAGCGACGCGACAAAAAAATACAATATAGAACCCATTATAATCAGTGATACTATCTACAATGGATGCGGACAGTAAAGTGATGCCCCAGTATATTTCTGACGTACAGATGTATTCCTAGTTTCTGACACGAAGGGCAGTATTACAAGCGATGTAACACGTCCAGTATTGTCTGTCCCAAGCTGTTATATATATACAGTACATTTAATAGTATACAGCCATTAAAAAAAAAACACAGTAAGTCACTGTATGTGGAGTTTGACTTCACAGAAAATTCCCAGGATGCAAAGGGTATTACAGTTACTTACTGTAAATGGAATTTGCAGTATTATACTGGGGGGATATACAGTAAATAACTGTAGAAATTACAGAAATGTCTAACAGTGTAGGTAATAAATACGGAAGCCAGTTTACGCCACTGAATAAAAAATAATTTTTTTTAAAAAAAGGTAATTGCGACTTTTTTTCACAGAATTGTGAGATATAAACTTGCAATTGTGAGTTATAAAGTCAGAATTGCATGATATAAACTCGCAATTGCGAGACTTAAAGTCACAATTCTGACTATATTTCTCAGAATTTCGAGTTTATATCTCACAATTATGACTTTTTAACTCGCAATTGCGAGTTTATACCATGCAATTCTGATTAAAAAAAAGTCAAATCAAACTCTTTTATTTTTTATTCAGTGGCGGAAACGGGCTTCCATAAATAAATGACTTTCACAAACTTACCAACCCTAAACTTGTAAAAAACATATTAATAGTTTAAAATGCAGTTTTATATTAACAAGAAAGAAAGAAAGAAAGAAAGAATGAATGAATGAAAAAGAAAGAAAGAAATCTCTTTTTCAATCAAGGGATTTGAAAATGTTGAAGACCGTGGTGTCAATTCAGTTCTATGGTATAAACTTTTGTAAGACTTGTCACTCTAAGTCTTAGGATTTAGTTCAATCCTGATTTAACCAAATATGCTTATTCATTTTTAAGCCATGATGAATCCTTAGAACAACTAAAAATAGGGTAAAATTCATAGTATTACTTTGCAGTGTTAGTGTGGGAGAGGGTTATGTCAAGGATGAGATCAAGTCGGGCGCATTCCAGCTGGTTCTGTGCAGTGTTGACAGAGTAAACTCTAAACAGACATGAACAAATCCATCAGGACTATGATGTGTTCCGGGGGAAGGGGCCGATGAACTGAAATCGAACTGTTAAAAGGTGATGACAGAAATTATAAGCTTCAAGCTTTAAGGCTGTTGATTTTTCTGAATTAATAATACATTGTATTTTAAACGGGGAACACTGTATGAGACTAACCCCCCCTAAATGGCAATGCACCCTGCTGCCAACTTCTACAACGCCAAAACCAAAACAGCAACCACGCGCTGCACTGTTATTAGCTAAACAGTATTGACTGATTAGCAATGTTTTGTAAACTCAACACCAAGATGTCAGGCAGAGAGATGAAACTCTGATTCACTGAATAATGCAAAAGAAAGACCATCCAGTTCCAGGTTATTGTTGTGTGTAAATAGTCTTACACACTTCAGACGCATGCTAGGAGACAAAGGATAAAGAGGCCGACCTTGAATTATTGGCACATAAGCACAGCTAACCTTCTCCTACAAAGTCACATTAACGTACTTTTGACCAGATTAAGTTTGAATGCCAATTTAATACTCATTTACTCATTGAAATACTCTCTCTCTCACACACACACACACACACACACAATTATATTTAAAATATTACAACATCTAAAGATTGGAACATGCAAACGTTTTATAAAAACATAGGACAAGTATTTTATTAATGTACTTAATAAAAATATAATAGACTACATTTTGAAACATTTACCATTATTCAGTTTAAATTGTACATATTTGATTCAATTCAACTACTTTGATTCAAACTGAATCGCTGTTCCATGAATTTACCAAGACAATCATTCTAAGAAAGACAAGCAATCCATATTATCCGAACACTGACTAAATCAGGGGGGAAAAAACAATAGCCTTTTAAAAAAACACATGCCAAGGAAAGGTACCATTTTCATCTTCTTGGTCCTTAAAGGAAAAGAAGTCCATATGACAGGAGAAAGAATCCATGATCCATTGAGCGCATTCAACAAAATGTTCATCAAGAGGAAGAAAAAATGTCAACAGAAGAAAACAATTATTCCATGTCTATGATCCAAAGTCAAATTCCATCCCAACATGACAGCATTCATCCTTTTGGCTTGTTCCAGATGATACTAGCCTCTGTATATCTGGGGAGCACAGCGCTCTAAATGAACTGACATGTACCAGGGCTTATATAGAATATTTAGTGAAAATAGTGTTGAGAGACAACAAACACTTTAGTGTAATGGACTGTTCTGTGTTATTTCCCCCTAAAATATTTGACATATCAACATGACAAAAACAAAACTTCTTGAGTGTTAAGAGGCATTTGGCCCCAACTCTGCTGGCTGCTGGTTTCAAACACCATGGCTGTTTATTAGTTTCAACAGCTAACAGCTGAGATGTTTCATAAGCAAATACAATGTCCCACAGATGCCTCAACACATCCTTGAGTATCAGGCTTATGGTTGATGTTGGGACTTCAAACCCTGATATTCATCTAATCATCTGATCTGGTTTGAAGTGAGACATACAGCAAGCAGTCAGTGTGATATTCTGGTTGCATATCTACTGCTCCCCCTAGTGGTTAAAAGAGTACAGTGTCTCTGTAAGTCAAATAAAATATGTTTGGTAGAGTGGGAAACAGACTTATCTAGGGTTATAAACAGGGTTTAAATTGGGCCGGGGCCGTCCGGGGTTTGAGCCCCGGCACATAGACTCCAGGGCTCGACATTAACGCTTCATTAACGCCAGACAAGTAAGCATGCAAATTCAAAATGAAAAGTTTTTATATTTAAAACACAGTTAGTTAGGCAACATCACACAACGTTTTCACCATTACGACTGTTTAATAGTTCAATTAACAGTTCAATAAGCAAATGCAATAATATTAGGTCACTTACATTTTAGGCGGAACCACAGCGCATCTCAGATTAAACTGTCAACAAAATGGACAAGATTATGTTCTTTTAACCTTGACTTGTGGTTGCCAGGCTACTGTCTCTTACTCCAGTGACCTGACCTGTAGCGTACAGCCTAAGGGATAGGAAACAGCTAGTATGTGGAGAATACAAATGAGTACAGGGCAGAAAAACAAGTAAATGAAGCTGGTGTGCTTGATAGCAAGGGAGGGGGGTGGGGTGTAGAAAGTGCATTTGTATGCAGGTGGTTGCACTGCTTAAAAAAAGAATAACAGATTATAAACACATAATTGGGTGAATAAGTAATTAATTAATAAGTAATTTAGAAGATTGCAAGGAAAAACTAAGAAAGCCCAGTATATAAATATATAATATATATACAAACGCATCATTCATTTGTTGCCTATTCCAGCTGCTTAACATCACAATCTTCCAGCGCACTGGTACTGAAATCCCACAGCCCTCATTTCCTCACCTCTTTATTTACCGATGTTTTATTCATTTCATTTTCTCCATAAGCAAATTCCTTTTCCTTTGGCATTACTTGCTGTCAAAGGGACTATGACATTGACAGTCTTTCAGCAAATGCTTCAGTCAACTGTCTGTTTTAAAGGCAAGTCATATGTCTGAAGATGTTTTAAGAGTTTACTTTTATCTTACTACGCTTAAACTGATTTGGTTTAAATGGTATCCTTTTAGGTTACATATTCAGGCACATGACAGAAATAAAAATGATATGAGTAAAGAGAAGGAAAGGATAATGGAGAAAAACCTCTCAGGGGAAATTAGTAAAATAGACATGTCCAGAGATGAATATTAAAAAAGAGAAGAGGTTGTTTGTTTACGCTGATAAAAAAATCCAACTTGCCTCTCGTCATTGAAGGTGGATGTGGGAGTGGTTTCTTCATCATCTTCCCTGATGAATCCTGATTGGCCAGTTCAGTGCTTTGGTGCTGATTCTGGTTTATTGTTTATTTATTCAGGATGTGTGTCGCCTGTTATAAAAGGAAAGAAAAGAGTCAGGTGCATAATTGAAATTGACATCTAAATATAAAATATTTACTAAATAGCACACCCTTCCTCGCCACTTTTAGCAGCCATCTCTCAGCAGTCTGTTCTTACAAAATTCCAGTGGATGTAAGCAGATTACTAACCTCTAGATTATCATATTTTATTTTTTTTTTCCTTTGAAACACTGCAGATCATAAGATAAAATGGTCAAAAATGTCACACAGCTGATGATCTGACTGTTTTTAATATGAGAAATATCCTATAAACTCCATTTTTGGTTCAGTGCCCACAGGGTCGAGTGTGGCATAGACCAAGTCGTGTTAATGCCATGTGCTCATCCACATCATCCCTACGGTTGGCATGCAGACAAGAAATGCTGTCTTTTCTCGCTGAAAACAGAACACTGGAGTACATCCTGCCCACGAGAGGGTAAATGAGAGTGACAGAGTAATAAAAAATAGAGAAAGAGAGAGAGTGAGAACATAGAGAGAGGGAGACAGGCACAGAATCTGCACATCCTCACAACCAGCACACCTTTACCATTCACAGCCGAACTCAAGACTGAGCAAGCAGATTACTAACCTCTAGATTATCATATTTTATTTTTTTTCCCTTTGAAACACTGCAGATCATAAGATAAAATGGTCAAAAATGTCACACAGCTGATGATCTGACTGTTTTTAATATGAGAAATATCCTATAAACTCCATTTTTGGTTCAGTGCCCACAGGGTCGAGTGTGGCATAGACCAAGTCGTGTTAATGCCATGTGCTCATCCACATCATCCCTACGGTTGGCATGCAGACAAGAAATGCTGTCTTTTCTCGCTGAAAACAGAACACTGGAGTACATCCTGCCCACGAGAGGGTAAATGAGAGTGACAGAGTAATAAAAAATAGAGAAAGAGAGAGAGTGAGAACATAGAGAGAGGGAGACAGGCACAGAATCTGCACATCCTCACAACCAGCACACCTTTACCATTCACAGCCGAACTCAAGACTGAGCTGAGAAACCAAAAAAGGTGAGTACAGCAAATTTTGCATGAATAAAGTCTGTTGAATAAAGTCTGTTAAATGGAAGAGGACAGAAAGATACAATAATGGTTCTTAGGATTTCACATGGTGTACATGAGCTGGCTATAAGGGTTTTTGAAGATTAAAGGAACCTAATGTTTTATTATAGGTTTTTAAGATCGGAATATTGGTTTCTTCAAAAAGCATCAGTACATACTGTACAGTTTTTAAAGAACTAGAGAATGAACATTTATTTGTGTCATCATTTTCTCACCCCATTGTTCTAAACCTATGACTTTCTTTCCTCTGTGGAAAATAAAAGAAAGTGTCTCAGTATTTTTCTTTTCTCTCAATGATGTAGCTAATAATCATTAGAGCTGTTTGGTTTCCACCATTCTTCAAAATATTTCCTTTTGCGTTTTGAAGAAGAAAGTAAGTCATACAGATTTGGAGTGAAATGCGGGTAAGTAAATGACAGATTTTTGAGTGAACTGTCCCTTTAAAAAAATTATAAGACCCTTTTTGGGTCTTAGATCAGTGTAGGGCAGTATAAATTATGAAAATAGAAAGAACTGTGCAAGTACTCAGGCTGGCTGAGCTGATATATAATAGTAACCTGCATGTAAATGGCAAGCTGGTGCATTTATCTGAATGAATGTAAGTCATGTGACGACAAATGAGGTCATGAGCCACATATGAAGTCATTTCAATGTATGAGCTGCACTGCCACACAGATCTGTAATTATAAAACTGTCTGAGTGATCTATTAAAGCGGATAGAGAGGAGACAATTACAAGACCGGGCAGCATGTGAAGGTCTTCGCAAAAATGGGAAGAGGACAGATGAAGGTAACATGAATTAAAGACAACCTGAAATGAGCAGTAGAGGAGGGAGAAAGGGAAGCAGGAGTGTTGATAATCTATCAAGTGGATTGTGATGGGAACGAAGGATGGAGGAAATAGCTATTCACATGCTGAGATGATTGGTGGTGGTCATCTGATTTTCGACCATAAACCTCTCAGGCATAAGTCACTGGCTCAGACAACAAGCTGATCTAAGCTGTTCTGCTGGAACTCAGTAGATCACCAGTCAGAGCCTGATGTCTACAGGCCTAAAGGGGAGGATGACAGGCCATTCCTTCATGTAGGGCACACCTGGTGCCTCGGAGCTGAGCGCTATTATCCTTGCAAATAAGCTAGCAGAGGCTGGGAGCTTCTTAAACAGGCCTCGCAAAAACAATGGCATCGCTGTATGTTTCGAAGCTGTGGAGGCGTCATTTGAAAAAGTTTTCCTTCTGATTTGCAGCAGAAGATGAACATTAATCCAAGAAGGAAACCAGGCTTCCCTGGAGCCAGAGAGCAGAGGTTATATTATTGAGGCATCACCTGTGTGTTGCTGTGCTGTCAAACATTCATTTAGCTGTCGGTTTGAATCCAGCGCCTCTGTTTACAATGTTGTGTGGGCTTAAAGCCTGAGGACGCTGAGAGGAGTCCGCTTCAATTATAGAGAGCCAGTCAAGCTGCAGGGGTATGATTAAAGCAGGTCCACTGCCCCTCTCTGGCAGCTTTCCATCTGACAAAAGTATAAATGGAAGACTGCAGAACAAAAAGCGATAGGACGGTGGACATAGAAAAAAAGACTGCTGTCTTTGATATTGATATGTTACTTGACTTGAGTTGTAAAGAAATGTAGCATGATAAGTAACCCAAAGTTTGTTATTCACATAGGTCATAGTGCTAAATAATGAATCCTGGATTTATCTATCTATCTATCTATCTTTAAATTGTCCAAAATGTATTGCAATTAACCAAAATCTATTTTAAGATTTAAAATGTATTTTCTTGCCCCTGAAGTACATTTTTGTAATTTATTTTGGCATTTGAAATTTAAATAATTTGAAAGTCAATTTATTGTCAGTCTGAAAAATATATGTCATAAAGTAACAATGTTTAGAACATAAATGTAGCATATATTTAAAATATATTCTGGACAGACAATATATATATACATTTTTATTTTATTTTTTTGTGGTGTGGGCAGTTAAAATCTAACTAGCCAATGCACACACAAGGTGCATGGGGAGTGTGAATCATTGTGAATTACGTGCATTTAAAATCTGTGGAACATTTTCTGTTGCACAAATTCCGTATAGGCCAGGTTTGACCGCTAGAAATGTGTTATAGCCAAACAAAGAGTTGGCGATAGAAAAAGCTGTGAAAATCCCTGTGGTGGAATGACAAACACTCTCCCCCGAGGAATCATAAAAGAACATACGGATGAGCAAGATGAAAAGATGGGGAGAAAATAGAGGGACAAGAGACAGACACAGAAAGGATAAATAAAATGACAGATCGTCTTACAGAAACTTCAAAAGTAACAGGTGTGACAAAAATGATAGGGATACGGGAAACAAAAGAGATGAAAGACATAGATGCGAAATGTGATGTGAATTTACAAGGAGGAACAAATCATCAGCATTGAGGTTGAAACTGGAAGGTGGGCAGTTGAATGAGAAGAAGAGAGAGAGATTGGAAGGATGCAGCATGTCACAAGCCACATGAGATTGTTAATGACATTGATTTATAGGGAGCCTAGCAATGAGAGAGATTCATTTATAAAACTACAGGTGCCATGAGAGGCATCTGACAAAGCTGTGCACATGTATATACAAGAGAGAGCGAGAGGGAGAGGAAGAGGGAGAGGCAGCGGCAGAGGCAGAGGCAGAGAGAGAGTCACTGGGGGGAGGCTGGGGGAATGGGGACGCAGAGAGGGGCTTTTCTCATGAGCCAGTCAAGTGACGAGTGAGGGAAGTCATGTTTGGACAAAGGAAACACACTGCATGCTGAGAGAGCAAGAAACAATAAGATATTTAATTAAGACATAGGAGACCCAAGAAAAACAGGATACAAAGAAAAGGATTGAGAACACCTGGATACATTTTGCTGGAACACTAAGACAGAAAGAGACCAAGACGAGTGAAGGGTAAAGCCACAACGATCTGCTTCTCAGATCTCCACAGGTAACTGCTGTCATTGTGATATTCATGCGGCATGACAGAGATGGGGACAGCTGATGGATGGAGGGATGGGGTGGAGGAGGAGAGGAATAATTAAAGAATGGGAAGATGGAAATGAGAAAGAATATGTAGAGGGAATGATGCGATGAGTGACATGCCTACAAAAAGATGGAACACTATTTACATTCTAGAGAATAAATGTGATAGCACTTGTATTGAAAATTCTGGCAGTTAATATGCATTTTAAATTAATGCAGAGTATATATTCAAAAACATGTATGTGAAATTGCTGATGATAATCTCAAGGTTTATACTCTGTAACACTTCAGGGTGCAATAGGTCTGTTTTAGGAATAGAAGTGCACTGACATTTTAAAAGATTGCTCTAATCTACACGAATCCATTGAGAAAAAGAGAGGGAGAGAGAAACTTAGAATAAAGGGAAACAGAGTGAAAGAGAGAGATAGAAATGGTTGGTGGGGGTTGATCTGTGGTAAAATGGTCCAGAGCCTTTCATTACGGACTGCTTCTTGTTCAGGTTTCATGACAATAACTGCAGTGGTAATTGCTGGTGTGTCTTGAGGCAAGAGAAAGAGTGACTGGGAAGTTGTGCATAAGATAAAATGGTATATTAATGAAAAGCTGTTGGTGGTGCAGTTGTGTGTGGGCAGAGACGACTGCTGCCACCTTGTGGTAAAGTTCTGGGGCATTAAAGTTTGCATGGTTTATGGGTACTTAGGAGGGCCAAGTAGAACCACTGCCCTAGGACCTTGAGCTGAGAAACACCTGGAAACAATGCAAGTAATATTAGACAAAGAGTGCTTGAATGTGCTCAATTAACACTGTTAATGGCATTCAACAGTGTATTAATAGAATTAGCAATTTTATATATATATATATATATATATATATATATATATATATATA